GTGCAAAAAAAAACCAAACACTCTTTCAACATTCTTGCTTACAGATATGAAAGCCCATTTCTTTTCTTTTTCTCTGCACTGTTGGTACTCTTTTCAGTAAACAAGTCTTTCAGATATAAACTGAAAGCTGCAGTAGAAATACTTTGAGAAATAAGAACCCTGTGTATATAATCCTGGTTATGCAAGGAAAGAGAAGCTTTTTAAAAAGTGATACTCATACAAACTAGGCCTTGGATTGAATGCTGACTTGTAAATCTTGTGTGAATGTAGCAATTCCACATTAACATCATATTAAAATGCATCTTAATACCGTGTGTGAGTGTGTGTGTGTATGCACGCAGGCCCTGACTGGTTACCAGTGAGCTATGGAGCATGGGCCAAGAGTGGAGACAAAAAAGAGCGTCTGGAAACAATTGATAGTTCCAGATGAATGGTACCAACTTCTGAAATGCACAAAGATGATAGAAACTGAAATAGCACAGGAGTCAAAAATAAGGGATTTGCTTTAAAAAAAAAAACAAACTGCTTCTGACTGGAATATAGCGAATACCATATTGATCTAAACCAGCCTTCACCAACTTGGTGTCCTTCAGATGTGTTAGGCAACATTTGTCATCTTCCCCAGCCAGCACCAGAAAGGATTGTCTAAACTTTCAAGAAACACAATGACAAAAAATTATAATTTTTACACGGCACCAAGTTTGAGAGAAAACTGTAACCGCTGAAGGACTAATGTGAGCTCTCTATTCAGTTTTTAACAGAAAGCTTGTATTTAATGTATTTTATCCATAGATGAGTAGAATCCTGCTTTGAATGCAGAATGCCCCAGATTCAGCCACAGCAGCTCTGGCTCAAAGACACTGAGTTGCCAGACTTGGTGTGACTGTTGCCTGAGGTCTCAGGAAGTCACTGACACTCAGAGAGACAACAATGAGCTAGATGGGCTAACCTTTTCAGTATCAGGCAGCTTAATATGTTCCTACACAACACTGCCACCCAAGACCTAGTTGAAAGAGGAGTGTGACTGCTCTTATACAGACCTCTGTGTGTGCATACATGTTGCTCTTGCAAAGCCACACCCCTCCCTTACCGCAGACCTGCACTTGCGCTTTTGCTTGTGTGGACATCCAACATGGATGGACATCAGCAGTGTGGTGCCTCCTTTGTTACAGCCATATGTGTTCCATATGATTAAGACCCTTGGTTGCACTGAGGACTCCATGCAAATATACATAACTCCCCTTCACCAGATGTTTGGAAGCCTGGTGATAATGTCACCAGATGTTTGGAAGTCATAGGAATGGAGCCACATGCATGGAGGAATGTTGGAATGGAGTGGAGTATGTCAATAGTGGGGCTAGGAGACATGGTCTTACAACTTCTTTTTTGGTAGGTAGCCCTTTATGAACAGGGCTTAGTTCTCTCCTTAAATAATGCAACATTTTTCAGCACTTGTTTAATTCCAATAACCTGTCATCAAGAAAGTTTATCAGTTGTACTTGCTTTGTCAAGAAATAAATAGGAGACATGCATGTGAATGTACATAGAAGCAAAGATTTCCTGGAAAGCATGAGTTACTCTCTTAAACAGAAGTGACTGTGAGGTCTGCCTAACTAGAGGGAATAGTTTGCATTACTAGTAACCACATTTTCAGAAAGAAATACACATATATTTTTCTTTTTTAAAAGGCATTTTATGCTCGAATGGAGAATACAACTGGCCAAAAAGGTGATTTTAAGTACCTTGTGCATCTGATAGCTAAAGAATAATGCAAATTAAATTAGCTGTAGTTTGCTCATCCTGGAGGGTTAGCTACTTCTGAGGCATAATTTGGGGGAGGGGTAGTTCTTTCTAAACATGGATGCTTTGCCGAAATGCTTTTCAAAGCTTTTCTTGTACTTTGACAGCCTTGTGACCTCATCACTTTGGGAGAGGGAAGCAGATTATTCTGCGTAGATAGCTGTTCTCTCTGGGGAATGGGGAGAGAATAATTACTGGCTTCCTAATTAGTATTGGTTTCTGTTAGACCATCATCTAGGGTTTAAATAACCTTGCAGTCTCTCCTGCTATTTGTGTTGCCTCTCCTCCCCCAGATCTGATTTTGTTTGCAATTCAAATTAGCATTCTGGCCAATGTATGCCTTGCATTCACATTACAGACCTTACTGACAAGAGCCACTTTCACATGTGTGAAAACATCATTAGGCCTTTGAGCTATATATCCTCATTCAGATTTCCCACCATTCAACCCCAGTATTTCTTCAGAATTAATAGTGAGGAGGGACTACCCAGGCAAATCTCTGCAATAACTGCCCTTGGAGTATTTCAAGGCCACTTTTTAACTCTGTCTGAAAACAGAAGGAGTAAAAGATGCAGGCTTCAAAAAAGTCACAAGTAGAACCAACAAAGCAGTGCGGTTTAGCCTCCCTCCTACCATAATTGCTCTTGCTCAACTTCCCTGCCAGCCAGTCATGCCTTCTTCTAGCAGGACTGCCTCCTCCCTCATCTTCCTTCCACCCTAGCATTCAATATTTCTATAGCCACTCAGCATATTCAGTCTTCTTTGGGCTGGGTTCTGGGGTAGGTTGTCCCTTCAGTTTTTTTAAAATAAGATGCATTCTGTGTCTGCACATGTCAGGGTTCCTGTGACCTTGCGGCTCCCTCCCCCTTTTTTCACTATGGTGCTGTTTGACTCCATTTTTGTTGGCGCTCCCTACATGAGTTCAGTGGTAGCAACTACTTTTCCTGTTTGGGGTTGGGCCCTTGAATACTGATGGTCTTTAGTTGAATAAAGATCCAGTGCAAGCTCTGGCAATTAGTCTCAGATGGACTATAATGCAGGGTGTACAAGTGAATATATTCAGCCAAGTTTTACAAACAAGAATAAATATATTCTTCAGTTACCCCTATCTTCCTTTCCATAACTAGCAGAAATAGAACTTTGGAATATTTCATTCAATTAACCAGACTAAGAGGGTTGCACACAGATTACTTAGAGGTATTAAAGGCAAATAAGAAACAATATCTTTGTTATTGGAGTGAGCCTAATTTTCCCTTGGTTTACATGCTCCCATCCCTTTCTTCTCCTTTCCACTTGCAACTCAGTGAGGTGGTTAGAAATGTTACTTTCTGTTTTAAAAAAATAACCACAGTTACTGGTGTATCTGAACCCAGACAAACTGTGGTCAATCTTAACTATAGAGGATAAGGCTATCAATGGCTACTAGTTATAAGGGCTGTATGATACCTTCAGGATCATAGGCAGTATGCCTATGTATACCAGTTGCTAGAGAACATGAAAGGGAGGGTGTTGTTCCATGCATCTCATACTTGTGGGTTTGCACAGGCTACTGTGTGAGCAGAATGCTGGACTAGATGGACCCTTAATCTGATCCGGCATGACTCTTACTATGTTTAACTGAAATTAGCCAATTTCAAGTCATGGTTTATGACGTCAATTTGTTTCAGTAAATGAGAAAGATGGACCACTGTTTGTCCAGGGTTAGACATAATGTTAAAATGTGGTTTCGCTTCCAAACGTGGAAGCAAATGCTTCTAGCCTCTTCACAGCTATACAGGATATAGAAAGGGGATTAGGGGGAACAGGCAGAACTGATGTTCATCCAGACTCATCCCTATAATAATAAACCATAGTTTAATGTTGCCTACCCAAACACAGCAAATAAGTCTGAGCCTGAACACTTAAATTACAGTTTGGTTTCTTCTTCTTTTTTTCCTTATCTCATACTTTTTCATTAAAATATTCATAGTGACAAAGTAACAGTTTTAAATACACAACACCAGTTAAAATATACAAGGTTACACATGCGGAACTATAAAACCTTATAAGGTTAACTGGCTTTTATGATAAACCCGCAGGAAATTCAGTATAGTCTCTAAAGGAAAATGAAGATTTCTACTATTGTATTAACTATAAATATATGACCAAATAATTCTCAATTACCTGTAAGGAAAGTTGGCATCTGCATTTCTTTTATCCTGTAAAATCTTGTTCAACTGAAACAAGTGTTTACCTAAAATCTAACTTTCACATGTACAGCATTTTTGAGTTAGCCTCGAGCCAGGTTCAGTTGAAACTTGCTATGGGCATCATTCTAGATGAACCCATCTGAATTGTGACTCCATTTATCTGGAGCTAAATATAACATAGGTAGAAAGTCTTGTAGCACCTTGTAGTAAAAATTATTACAGGATAAGCTTTTGATGAGCCCAACCCATTTCATCAGAAGCTAACTTATGGAATGTTTGGTATATGTATGTGAAGTGGACTGTAGTTCACAAAACCTATGTCATAATGAAGTGGGCTTGTCTTTAAGGTAGACAAGGGGCTCTGGTGTATTTGCTGCAACAGGTTAACATGGTTACCTCTGGAATATATTAAGAGAGTTTACTTTCAGTTCCACATCAAGAAAGATGTGGAATGCCCCATGATTCTAGCTCCAGAACGTGGGTGGCCATTAACAGACTTGGATTCACAAAGAGGCTGTTCATCAAGAAAGTGAGCATGGCTGTTGCCTGACAAAATGTTTTTATGGCCTTTCTCCTTCTCTAGGTACAAGTACCAGCTTAGTCAAGAGACTGACATTCGACTGATGGGTTCAAACACCAAGAGGTGGTTTTATCAGGACCTTAAATATAAAGCAAAATGGCGGGCTTCCTCTCATCCATTGTAGCCCTGTAGCAAGCACTGCTTGCTTTATAACTTTCTGGAGGGGTCTTCCTCACTTTCCTCATTATTTTCCAGTCTGTGTTATGACGTTCCTCTTGAACTTCACAACAGGATAGTGCTAGCTATTAATGTGCTTTGGTTTGGGCTGCTCTGTGCATACTGCTGGCTTGACTAGTATACTCTGCACTGCTTGTAGCTTCTCTGAACATTGCGACTAATTCTGCTTTACCTTTCTATTCATTAGATCTTTGCTGCTTTCTCTTCCCTCATCCCTTCTCTCCTTTGATATTTCCTCACTTCCACCATCGCAGGTTCAGCATGCCTAGTGGGCTATAAAAAAACACCCCCACCAGTCCCACCTCGGACCACCTCGAAGCCATTCATCTCTGTCACAGTGCAGAGCAGCACTGAATCGGCACAGGACAGCTACCTGGACAACCAGGACCACAAGAGTGAAGTCAACAGTCAGTCGGGACTCAGCAATTCCTCTGATAGCTTAGACAGCACCAGACCACCAAGCGTGACGAAAGGAAGCATTGTGACTCCAGCCAGAGAACCTCCTGAGCTACCCCAGAAAAATGCAACATTGAAAAGTGACAAAGGAACGCTGACTAGCGAAGAGCCAAAGGTGGAGAACATCCCCAAAAGGAAGCTGTCATCTATAGGAATACAAGTATGGAATTGTTTGTTCTCATTAGCTATAGAAGACATTCCTAACATATCTGTCCATATCTGTTTAACTGTTCTAGTGTCTGCTTACAATATGCCTCTGGAGAAGTATGGTCCTCAAGGAGACATTCAGTAGGGCATATGGAGCAGTCCTCTAGGCTTCTTGGCAGCACCCTCCATAGCCCCACATTCCTTTCAACCTATACCACATGTGCGTAACATGTGGCTCTCCAAGGCCTTAACTGTGTTGCCCAGGCATGTCCCGACCCCATCCCCCCCCCCCACTACAGTTGCATTCCCTCTCCCAGTGATCCTGATATACAGTTTGTTCTTTCCATGGTCTCATCTCACGAGTAAGAACACTGAGGAAGGGGCAGTCAGGATCAGGTTCATTGAGAGTCACGGTGCAGAGGCAGCGTTCTCCACTTCCTCCTGTGGAACCTCTGTGGTTTGTGCTTCTCAACTGCTGCTACCAGTGAGAAAGGGGCAAACAGTATCAGGATCACCAGGGGTGGGGTGTATATCTGTGGACCCCCTGCAACCACAAAGCTAGTCCTTGGGGCCAAAACCCCTCCGTCAAGGTGCCTCTAAGCCATGGGAGGACAGCCTGTGATATGAATGTCATCACACAGACAGGAGCAGGATGATTCATGGACTTGGTTGCTAACCTGCAGTTCCGTTTTTCTTTTCTGTGCATTATACTTTCTGGCTCTATAGGCTAGGTACAAATCCACCAAAGCACCAGGCCAAAAAGGTTGGCCATTGTTGATGCAGAATAAGATCATGATCATGAAGTTTGTAGGAGAAATGTTTATGGGGCTAACATGCTAAGGAGCAATCTCATGCCTATACTTTTTCTTGTGTGACTGATTCTCCTCTCTTACAGTTCTCGCAACAAGTGTGTGTTAGGATCAGGAAATATGAGTTCTCTTGGGGCTCAGTGAAAACTCTAGAGGCACAGGATTTTCACCAACATCATCAAATGCATTTTGTAAAATCTATCTAGCCTAGTGCTATAGCGAAATGATTTACCTTAGTGAAGAAAAATCCAGTTACGTTGCTTCCCACGCTGTGCGCATCTGTATCACGTACAGTCAACGCGAGTCAATGCAATTTCATTTAGCAGATATTCTAACTAAGGAGTTAGATAAAACAGATCAAACATGCCAATTAAAAATGTCATGGCATAGTTCTCAGAAATGGCATTCCAGAACTGCTTAAACACACAGTTGAATTGGCTTTCTATCAAAATAATGATCTTCTGTTCCTGGACTTTCTGTAAAATTACAAGCCATCTAATGGAGGTGATAGGAATATAGCCAGGATTGTGCAAGCTGTTGTATTTGGTCCAGTAAAGCTCACTAATTTGGAAATAATTAAAAAGAAAAGTGGTCCTTTGCCATCAGCTTTCCAGAACAGGTACAAGCTGTTGTTTACTGGAGACTCTGCAGTCACTTCCCCCGCTGTGCAGAATAGGCTTTCATCCACTCAAGTAAGGTAGTATCTGGCTCAAGTCTGGAAGAACAGGTAGGGAATGATAGTGAACAGGTACTCCTATTCTAAAACATCAACATATACTTGTCTGTTATGGCAAAGCCTTTCAGTTTTGGTTCATGCTGTATGAGAGTCTTTCTTAGGTGACCACCTTACAGCAACAGTGCACAGTAGTTCACTAGCTGCAAAGGACCCAGGTGCCTAACTTCCAAGTTTATGCGTATATTCATAAATAATACATATCCAATTTATTCTGCCTCACAATGTACATGTACCAATTAGATAATTAAAAACAAAACAAAAAAACAGCATTGCAGAGAAACAATTAAAAATGGCCAATCTAGCAGCAGCTACACAAGTTCATGCCTCTATTGTCAGGGAGACTGCATTTTTCCCAGCACTTGAAATTGTAAGAAATATTGTGCAGCTTTAATAAGTGTTAATGCCTGCCACATAATAAAAGTGCTCCTAAGGATGAGTAAATGATTAATCTTTGTGCTCATCGATATTCTTCTTTTCCCACTCAGTATTTTCTTTTGTCTTGCTCTCACTCACAAACAGGAGCTCCCCCTCCCCCAAAAAATAGTGACTCCATTTTCTCTGATGCTATACTGTTTCATCTCTTCTCCCCATCCTGTTCTTTAACTGTTCTAGGAGAAATGCAAAATCATGATCCTGCTGGTATGTTGGACAAACATAAAGCTCAAGAAAAAGTCTGAATGTGCAGGCAAACAGAAAGCATTCCATGTTAGCTAATAAATTGGTGGCTTTCTTGAAAAGCTGGGAAGCCTACTTTCACTCCAAGTTGTTGAGTTAGTTTGTGCTATATGCCATCCTGCCTACAGTTACTAGCATGGCTTTGCCTGCTGGGAACTCTGGGAACACTTCACTAAAGGGCTGTAAGCACACCATAAACTGCTTTGCTGAAGTCTATATTCCTTCATTCTACCTGGATACTAACTGGTATTTCCCCCCAGTTCATTCTCAGAGTCTTAGGGAAAGGAATAAGAAGTTACTTCAAAATATCCATTTTAAAGCAATGTTAAAGTTGACTATAAATGTATCAACCATTAATATCCCTTTTCCTCTTACCAGCTTCACTCCAGCTACTTCAGCACTCTAAATAATTTGAGAGTTAGTGCTGAAGAGATGGCATTTCTGTGTGTGCCTTCTTTGCTAAAAGCAAAGCCAACCTGTACCTGCATGGCATTATGTAATAAAGCTAATTCAGATATTCCAGCTCAACATTCTTTTTCTTATGCACCTGCCTCTAAAATTCCCTCTAGGGTCATTTTAGGGTACATATTCATGCATGTTTAGACAGAAGAAAGTGCTTCAATTCTCAGTATTTCCCAGCCCACATGGCTTATACCCTTACTTAAGATTGCACTCTTATTTAAATAAAATACATATAGAACCTGTTCAGAACTTTGAGCCACAGGTACCTGACTACTCAATTAAAAGTGAATGGAATCAAATGTGAATGACAGCTGCTAATGTTGGTGATGCTGTCAGCAGCCTTCGTTTCCCCTCTCCTCTCCCCCACACACTTTCTCCCATGCACCCCAAGTTTGTGGCCAGGCTGAGTAAATGTTGGTCACTGAACACCCCTGTTGGCCTCATTTCAGACTTGCTGTGGTATAAAAACAATCTGCTGCCTTTTGGTGTACGGTGTCTGCATGATCATTTTGTGTATGTTTGTGTGCATGCATGCCTCTTTCCTTCTAATGTGAATTCTAGCAGCAAGTTTTTGTGTTTTTGTTTTTTTTGTTTGTATCTTTTTGTTAATAAGGTTGACTGCCTTCAGCCAGTGGCAAAAGAGGAGCCCCCTCCATCAGCCACCAAATTCCAGTCCATCGGGGTACAGGTAGAGGACGAGTGGCGGTAAGTGGAAGACGCAGGCTTCTCTTTTCTTTTTTTTTAAGTCCCTTCCAGCTGCGCTCTCCCATTTTATAGTTTAGCCCCTGTTTCTTTTTTTCCTATTTGAAATCGCAGCTGAGTAGTGGTGGGTTACTGAGCCCTTCCTCAACAGCATGTGCTCTTACCCTCAAAAGTTGGCTTGGTAATGTAAGCAAATCATTGGAAGCCTGAAATGAAGGGGGAAAAAAAGAACTGGGACTGTAATTATAGATGCGTGCCAGTCTCTCTTTGGATGGCCTATTGCAGTAAGCAGGCAACCTTATAATTTTGTCTGTCTGCATGTGTGGTGTGTGTGTATCTGTGTGCAGAAAGGGATGGGCCATGAAAAGCAGTTCAGCTGCAGATGCCATAAACAAAATGCAAATGGTAGTCTCTGTTTGTGCCTTGCAACAAGCCCAGCCCTCCGTAAGGGCTGGCTCTTCTGATTCTCTCTTACCCCTCTTCTCTTTGTAGCAACAGCCATTCTCGCAGCATGTCCACCAAGCAGGATACAGATTCTGACTCACAAGAACCGAATCACTCTACCTGTAAATCATCTGAGAGAAGCCTCGTGGATTGTCCCCCATGCAACAACTCCAACAACCTTGACACCAGTACGAGGCAAACAGCCATACCCTCCCAGATCAAGAGAAACCTCTCCTATGGAGATAGCAATGACCCAGCTTTAGAGCCTTCCTCTCTCCCTCCTCCTGACCCTTGGCTTGAAACATCCACCAACACTCCATCAGAACCAACGCAACCAGGAGCTTGCCGAAGGGACGGATACTGGTTTCAGAAGCTGCTGCAGGCTGAGACTGAACGGTTAGAAGGCTGGTGTCGTCAGATGGACCAAGAGACCAAAGAGAACGATCTCTCGGAAGAAGGTTAGCACTGATTATAAGGTAGCACTGATGAGGAGGAGATGGTTAAGCCTGGAAGTCAATCCTTTTGCTGGTGTGTAGTATGTGAGTAAGTGCAAGGCAAGCACAGACCAGAAAGCTGATTATTTGGGAATGCTGCTCTTGCCTATTCTTGGAGGAGCTTCCATAGCAAGAAAATAGAAATTCTTAAGCTTTTCCCATGTATTTTCTTCAAGATTTTACATTCAGTGGCAGTAAACCATACACTTGGCAGCAAAGTAGCACCTTTCTCATATGAGTATACCACTCCATTCTTTTCAATAATACCCTGCAGAATCTGGTATCTTTGTTTTCCTTAGGGATCTCCCTAAGCATCATTTGTACATCATCTGCATAAAATGGATCTTACAGGAGAATGCTTTCTTGAGATACTGAAGTGTGATTGGACAGTAGAAAGACAGAGGACTTCTGGGTCTATTCTCACTCGCTCTGTGTGTGTGTGTGTGAGAGAGAGAGAGAGAGAGAGAGAGAGCGAGAGCGAGAGCATTTGGAAATATTTAGAATTATCAATGTCAGGTAGAGAATGATAAATAGAAAGCCACTGGTCACCAATTTGCAGTGAAGACAAGTTGTATTCAAAATGTTAAACTCTTTGATGTTGACATTGGCGCCTTATATCCCATGGAGGGAGCTTTGGAAAAATGGGAAATGAGTCTTTATCTACCCACTAGACTTCACTGGCAGTCTATTACAAAGTAAGAATCTGCTAGCATTGTGGCTGTCTGCCATTCCTGATGGTGACTGCTGTACAGGGCATTGCAGTTGGCAGTAGAACAAGGGCTAACAAAACATCACTGACAAAGGGGCCATGAGTCATTTTAATGGCTTGTCATTAATGGCCCCAAGTGAAAAACACTTCTGTTACTGGAGCAGGGTGGGAAGATACATCTGCATGAAGGACAAAAGGAGGCACTTTGGCTTCAAATCTTTTTTTTTTAATGCTTTGCCTTGCTTGGCTTCTTAAGTATACTTTTCATCTTCTTCAGTCTTAGGCAAAGTCCTCAGTGCAGTGGGCAGTGCACAATTACTAATGTCACAGAAGTTCCAGCAATTCCGTGGCCTCTGTGATCAAAACTTGGTGAGTATGGAAATATCTTTAAATGCAATACATTGTAGGAGCAGGATAAATATTTGATCAATAATTAGACTTTTATCCTGGAAACAAAAAGCCTACCATTCTCTTCTACCAAGTATTGAACCATAAGGTTTCGTTTCTTGTTTTTGGATTTTTTTTCCCCACTCAGCCACCTGTTCAGGATTCTGTTTCCCAAGGGAGGCAGGGATTTTGGAGATACTACTGAGCTACCCTTACAAGACAGTTGTAAAGTTTACCCAGTGTTCATATACACTGATATAAATACTAAGTTTTAAAAATTCCAATATGAAAAAGGCTTAGCATTTTTCCAAATGTGACAATGTTGCCACTGCATTCTACCCACAAGAGCATAAGCCAGTTTCCTCTTTTCATAGGAGATAAGAAGACAAAACTTGTCTGAATTTGTTCATCCAGGAAGCCTGAAATGGAGGCTTAAAAAAAGAAAAAGCTGCTAGTGCATTGCTCTCCAACTGTCCTCTTGAACTTGTCCTCAGACTTATTCCCATTATCTTTTCAGCATTAAGTAAAACTAGAAATGTGATCCATAATCAAAACATCTAAATTAGTGCTACTCCACTTGTTTGATTGAAAGTACTTCTGTTAGAAAGGGAACAGTGTTGGGAATATAATTTTTGACACAAGTAACTTATTAAAAACCAAACATAGCAAACACCATCCTAAAAACATACAGAGACTCATGCTGGATCCAACCAATGGTCTGTCTAATCCAGCACTGTTTACTCAGTGACCAAAACACAGCTGCCCACACAATCTCACAAAGTGGATATGAGTGCAGAGCATCTTCCAGCCCACCTTCCCCAGCGACTCAGAGGTGCAGGGCCTCTGAGTCTAAGGAGGATGGCACTTGTAAGATGAAGATGTCTGCTGGAATATACATCATTAAAGACAACAACAAAGCTGTGTCTTTTATTTCAGAGCTGCTAAAAACAAACACAATTAATCAACTAAGTTGTCTTTAATGATACAGTAGCCCTGTTTCAGGTACATCGTGATTCAGGTAAACAGTCCCCAAAGCCTATGATTTAGGCTCTTGTTTTTTACAGAATAAAACATGTTTTGGATCAGTGTATGTATTAAGACAGAAGTAATCACGCATGCAAGCACCTGGTCCCTACAGGGCTTCACAGGCTATAATGCAGATCTCCCTTGCCACAGTTGGAGAGGGTGAGCTACACTTACATTCTTGACAGAAGTCTCAGTAGAAACCACCATCCATTACAATAACTGGGGTAAAGGGGTGTGTGGGGGACAATTTATTGAGGTGACTCTGCAAAGGGTGGGAAAATTTGCCAGCTTCTTATTTTCCTTCCAGCCATACACACGTACATGCCTCCACTCCTGGCCAGTAGGACTTTCAAAGTGGGAGCACTTTCTCCACAAATTCTCCTTGTCCTGCCTGCACAGGTTTTCTCTGATATTGTTTGCCTTGTAACTTCAGAGCCTGTTACTTGCCTACTTTACTGCAGGTGTGTACATAGTTACGGTGCACTTCCGCACATTTTGTTTTCCTGGGTACAGTTACAGTTATAAGGGAACAGTCTATGATTCTCCTGTTCGCCATTGCGGAATTAATACCTCCTTTCTTTAATACAAGCAACATTGATAGGTTGAGCACCTATCAATTAAAATGCAAAGTGAGGCTGCCCAGACATAGGGTTCTGATTTGTACATGCGCTAGACTTCCCAAGTGCACTGAATTATATAGGGTTGAAATGCTGATCACCTGTGTCCTAAGAGGGTGTCCATGCAGCACTGCTTTAGTTTTGTGTGCCCTTGTTTATCTAGGCCTTGTAAAGAGTCATCTGGTTGTATGAATAACAAAGGAGATTTAGGAGAACTGGCTATGGGCCACTTTCTGCATTACTTCTTTTTACCGCAAGATAATTGGGAAACACAAGCATCAACTTCAGATTTATTTTGGTTCAGCAAATAATGGGTGTTGGTGCAGTGAACGGTGTGTTATTTTTGTATGTGTTTTACTGATGCTTTGGACACATTCTCCTCCCACTGCAAGCATCTAACCTGCAGCCTGTTTAAAACTGCCTCCTATTCACCGAAATATTCTGAGGATTATTTACAATATAACACAAAAGGAACTATTTGTATTGGATGCTGGTGCTGTAAATACTTACCCTTTGGAGAGCAAAGCAGAATCCACTGTTAAAGTAGTTTGGCGTGGGATTGTCATTTTGCCCCCACAGTGCTGTAATTGTTTTCTAACAGGCCAACATCAATTTATTCACAATTTGACAGCCTGCTATCTTAATAGCAGACAACCAGAAAAGGATTCAGAACACTCAGACCAAACAAAGGTTTCTCAAATTGCATATGCCGGTGGCATTCAGAACAGAGATGTGAATCACCATGACAGATTCAGTCTTTTCATCATGAACTTAACAACCATCTGCAATTCTAAGCATGAATGCTAATTCTCCATTTTAGTGGTTCATGTAATAGAATTTACAATATCTGAGTTTTCTCATTTGCTTCCTTCCTTCCTTCCTTCCTTCCTTCCTTCCTTCCTTCCTTCCTTCCTTCCTTCAGAATCCCAATTCTAATCCTAGGCCCACAGCGCAGGACCTCGCAGGTTTCTGGGATCTCTTACAATTGTCCATCGAAGACATCAGCATGAAATTTGATGAGTTGTACCACCTAAAGGCTAATGGCTGGCAATTGACAGAGACACCAGAGAAGAAGGTAAGTGTGGAGAACTAGAAACCAAGCTCCAAGTTAGAGCAGCATGTTTTTCCCTTAAAAAGCAAAATAATTAGGAGATGCAGGTGGGATTTTTCAAGTCTGGATTTTTCAGGTCATTCTGATCCAAGCCTTACTCAGAAGTAATACCTTTTAATAGGTCCAGTGAAATTTGCTCCCAAATAATTATGCTTGATGACAATTTTGTTTTATGTATTAGTACTGCAATGCTTCTGGGGTAGCCTGCAAAATCAAGATAAAATACAATTTCAAAACAAACTATCGTAATTTTCAGAATAATGCAACAACAATATTTTTAAAAGCCTGAGAAAATAAAAAGGACTTTGGCAATGAGAAGATCATACTGGTCCTAGGTAATTATCTCTGGGAGGAAATTCCATAAATGAGGCACCCCAATTGAGAAAGAGAGCTAGTGTGGTGTAGTGGTTAAGAGCATGGGACTGGGACTCAGACAATCTGGTTTCTAGTCCCCACTCAGCCATGGAGCCAACTGGGTGACTCTGGGCCAGTCACAGACTCACAGCCCAACCTACCTCACAGGGTTGTTATTGTGGGGATAAGATGGAGGAGGAGAATGACATAAGCTGCCTTGAGCCCTTTGTAGGAAAAAGGCAGGATATAAATCCAAAAATAAATAAATAAAGACATGTCTCTGGTTGCCACCTATCTTGCTTTACTTTCTTGGGCACATTCTAGGGTAGACTGGTAACCAGTGTTCAGAATGTCCCTACCACAATTTGCAACCTCAAAGCTGCTTTCTGAGTCAACTGCAGTATCTGAACACTCTTCAGTGTTAAACCCATGCACAGCACATTCCCGCTGTTAATAAGCCACAGCACTTCTGCCCATATTGCTTACCTGTGCTGCACAGTACACTTGTTCAGTGATCCACAGCCTCTTTTAAAATCCTGTCAGTTTGTCCTGCAGTTCCCCAGAGCTGCCCAAATCCACCTGCCAAGATGCTCTGAGCAACTGAAGCAACATCACTGCTGCAAACAAAATTATGTCAGTCTGGCAGTTCTTAGTGATGTTGTGTAAATGGCTGTCATAACATGTGGAACTTGTGGCTAGTTTGAAGATTCAGAAGCCCTTGAATGAGTTGTTCCTGGTTGTAAATGTTAACCCGAATAACAATTAAAAATTATTTGACCCAAAATCTGGATAACAAGCATGGGTTGTTGGTAAACTGAAGCAGAGAAAGCAAGTCCCTGTGCAGCTTTTAAAAATACGTTATGGTTGTTTCTCCAAAGGAAGAGAAGAAAGCACCCCCTCCTGTGCCAAAGAAGCCAGCCAAACCGAAATCCCAGCTAAACCGGGACAAGGCCTCTGACTCGGTGGATAAACAGCGCCAGGAAGCCCGCAAGCGCCTCATGGCAGCTAAGCGTGCTGCCTCAGTCCGACAGAACTCGGCCACCGAGAGTGCGGACAGCATTGAAATCTACGTTCCTGAGGCGCAGACCCGCCTTTGAGCAAGGGGAAGAGGAAGAAAACACTCTTTTTCATGTCATTAAAAGGAGGGGGGGAAAAGTTAACTAAAATTAGTGTGATTTATTTGGTTTAGAGACACAGAGCCAACATTACAAAGGGCGCCCCGTTTGGCTTTCTCTCCACCTTTTTTTTCTTCCCCTTCTCTCCAGCTTTAAGTAATGAAGATTTTGAACGAAAACACCCTTCCTGGTTCCATGGTTTGGTTTTTCTCCCACGCATCCTTCTCACACTGGCTGTGGTGTGGCAGAACAGACTCTTGGAAACACAGTCCTTTAGACTTGGAACTGCAACCTTTTTACTTGTTCTATCTAAGGAGAATTATTAGCTTGTTTACATGAAATGGACAAAAACTGAAAAAGAAAAAAAAGCCTTGGGCACTTGCCATGCTGCGCTTTTTTTCTCCTCCCTGTATTCTTTTCTGTCCTCCCCTTCACACACTGTCTCTCTCTTTCTCTTTCTGTCCTTGTTGCATACCTGCTTCTTGTTTTCTCCCAGTCTCTGATCCTTCTTTGTCATCCTTTCTCTGCATGGCATTGTTTACTGTGTTAGAAGTAAACTCTTCTGCAGAGCTCCAGAAGAAAACACCTGTTCAGTGTGTACTGTCGTTGCACTCTGCTAGTGAGCAGCCTTTTGTTTTATTGTGTATTATTTTTCCTTTCTAGGTGGGTTGGGAGTGGGAGGCCAGGGGTGGGATGGGAGAGGCTGCAGGGCTTTGGGGGTTCATATATCTCATAGTTTAATGATGTAAAAAGAGGGCAAGATCTGCAGGATGTAACAGAATGTTAAGTTAGCACAGCCTGAAAGCAAAGATGTGCAATAAGAGAAGTGTGGTCACTTGCATGTACTACAACGGATGGGGCTGCAGAAGGAGGATTTCCCATACAGAACGCCCAGTCGGAAGAAGAGCAGGGTGGACTCGTATGTAGCCCCACAAACGTTTCTGTTCTTTTTCTTGCAGTTTCCCTGTTGCAATAGTTTGTGTGTGGTCTATGTGTGCAAGGCTGAGCATATAAGAAAGCAGCTGCTACGCAAGGGTCAGGGGAATCTGCATCACAGTGGTGTGTCTTATGAGTCCGTTCTACCATGGAAGGCAATGGCTTTTATACTGAAGGAGAGAGGAGCAAGCTGATGGAAGGTTGGCAGGATGCCTCCCTGCCTGTATGTATGTGTACATATGCACATATACACTTAGTAGGATCTGTATATTTAACACAAACACACACACATACCCATTCACACATGCACACATTCAAATGGTGTCTTGACGAAGCACCTCAAGTGAGGGTGGGTGTATGTATAGCATATATTTTTACATGTACTATAGCTCAATGTGTGTAAAAGTGTGTGCAAAACTATATACCCTGCATATTATTGGATTCCATTTTCCCTCCTTACCCCTTTGTCTCCCATGTTCTTTGAGGGAACAGTCATTAAATTCCACTTTGACCCTCCTCTTTCTCCTCCTCTCCCCCTCCCTCCCCACCCTGCTTCCCCATTTTGGCCTAATTCTGTGGAGCAACGGAGTCACAGAATCAATTTCTCTTCTATCCACCACAGAGCACCCACCTCCCAGCCCCCCGGCGTGCATTCCTTTTGAAGCTGTGCTGTTGCTCACCAGTGCGGAGGGTGATAGAAGCTGTTCTGTGGACAGCTTCAGGTGGCCAAAATCCCAAAGGAATTTTATACTGATGTGTTAGTAATTTAAGGAGATGATAGCAAATGTTGCCACTTAATCATGTCAATGAATGCTGTTTATAATGTCTATGCATAGAGAGTGTTAGTCTCCAGCGGCCCGTCTAATGGGCAACTTTGTAACCTGTAAAAGGTTGACCGTATGGAATAAGGCTTCAAATCAAGCTCGATTTATTCCCCTCTTTCCTCTACTGTTCCCCTTCCTCAAATGTCTTCACAACCATGCTAGAGGGCATTGACTGACGTTTGAACCAAATGGCTGACTTTCACAGTTCTTCATATTAAAATTTGGAACACTTGGAATGTGACTTGTTTTACTCACGTTTCCAAAGGCAGCAATCCCAGCAATTAGGTAGTTTCTCGATAGACCCAGTTGCTGCTGAGTGTCTGTTAGCTTCCATATTTTCCCTTGGTCAGTATGATTAAATCTATGTAAATCCAGTTAAATTGGTTCATGGAGTGCAGCCTATCCCTTCCCTGCCTCAGTGCAGCATCACACATCACATAGTGACAAAATAAGTGTTTGCCTTCATGCACATACGCAGAGGCGAACACAACCAATACTTGCTCTCTGGCATGGATACCTACATGGCACGTGTGTACCGCAGTTACCTATTTGCATCTTAGTTGTATTTACAAAATGTTCTATGTGCACACCTAAGAGGTGTGTGAAGTGGCTTCAGTAAGTCTGTTGCAATAACGACAGTAATGGTACCAGGTTGTAAAAGGACACTGTGAAGGAAGTTGGGTCCTGAGTATGAAGAGCTCTCCCTGCAGAGTCTTGAGCCATGCTAACAATAGCTAGAAAATAAGTGTGGTTGTCATCTCTGAACAGAGGGGTGAGAGCAAAGCAAATGCAGCCGCTACTTTTGAATGCAACTGGACACCACTTGGGAGGAATTGCTTCCTGATTGGTAAGACAGCACTACGGCTGCTTACCTGGATGGCCCTGACATGCAATGGCATAGTAGCCTCAAGATGGCGTCCACATTCCAGTGGCTGGCATTCAGTTGGATTAGTACTACTGTTAATTGCGGTTTGCTTTGGTATACCTCCCAGCTCTACAGGAGGCTTCTTCACAGGGTCCAAGAAATGACTTCTGTGTAGAAATTAAGTTTTACTTCATAGGGTAACAAGGTAGCAAATGACCTACCTCTACTTGTAGAGTCAACAGTTCGCCTTCATTTCTGTGCCCTCCATAATACAAACCTTGTATCCAGGGATGAAACTACTGCATTCCAGACATCCAGATCTCTACAGTCTCTGTAAAGAGCACAAACAAGGGTGGCCCAGCAGGCACAAAAAAGTCTTTGTTTAAAAAAATCTCCAAAGGGCTGTGAACCTACTAAATTTCTTTTGTGCCTCTGGCTCTTGAATGTTATGGGATGGATTCCATAGAGTTCAAAAATTTCTGTGTGTGTATCAGAGATAACCGCTAACTTCTGCCCTCAACTTGAATTAGTTGGGGGTTGTTCTGATCAGGGTTTTTATTTTTTACTCATTCTCAGATATCTTTAAAACTGGTTGAGTCTAATTTTCCCCATGCAGTCCCAAGGCAAAAACGGAATAGTGACAAGGCTAAGAATTAGTGTGTCTCAGGTGCACTCCTTTGCAAGTTAGACAGGACTTCTTCTTCTGTCTAAACATGCATAGGACTGTGCCATAAACAATTCATTCCTTAATAGTAATCCATATTGGGGAAAGACTATGGGGTTTGTCTGCTTCTCTCCCTATTCTCTTCAGTTGCAATTATCCTGGTTTCAGTGCTTTTCAAGTGACAATCTAAAAAGAACCCTCACTGAGGGGGCTCTGAAAGGCCTCTGTTTGGTGAAACTGTGTTCCATGGATGCTTCTGTAGTTCTGTTTATCTAATAGTTATGTGGATTTAAAACAAATGTACATAGTGCTTTTAAAATCTGATTTTTCCCCAACCATGAAGAAGAAAAGATATCTTCCCCACAGTGATTTAGCCTATTTCTCATAGTATTATGGAAGAAAAAAGAAACAACCATTTTAGGCCCATTAATGTTAACTTTGTGACCATATTTCAAGATAATGAAAGCCTTGTTCCTAGACCCACGGCCCAACATTTTGTAATGTGAACCTTGCTGCCATTGTAAACTACAGTAAAACAAATGTGGTGCCTTTTGGGTGCCCGTCTGCCTCTGTCTCTTGCAGTTTGTGTTCTTTACTCTATGAACTCCAGTTTCTAGAACAGGCAATGAGATATAAATGTTAAGTGGGTGGGATGGGGAAATCACGTTTCTAAAACAACCAAGAGTTTTAGTTAGATTAGGAAATGGATTTTTTGTCACCCATGAGGGTATGACCAAATCGGTCATTAATAAAATAAACTAAAAAACAAACTTTGTCTGAGCATTTTCTAAACTCAGATTCATTGACTACAGAACAACCTAGCAACATTTGGCTATTTTTCATCCTTGAATGTGAGACTGAGATGCACCACCACAGCCTCCTGGGGCACAATGAAAAGTTCAAACTCTGCCTTTACAAACATTTTAGTGGATGAATGTTGCACATCCAATGAGATTTCTCTGAATATTGCCAAGACACAAAGAACAGGGTATGGCTTGCCACTTGGGTTTGACCGTTATCAGAATATATACAAAAGGCATGGGCCATCTTAGATGGTTGTGAAAAATGTTCTGTTCCTTCCCACGTTAGTGCTAAATCAAACAAGATTAAAAAGAAGAAACCCCTTGAATTTGCCACTCCACAACACCATTCTCTTATCAGGTGATGCTTGAATGGTTGAAGTTGTTTTGACTAGAGTCTGTGTACTTTTGTTTTTCTTGCCTCCTGCCTGGAGAACACTGTGACTTTGATTGCTTGGGTTAACGAACTGAGGCTGAAAGCTTGAAAATACCACCTTGGAGAAGAGGGTCAGGTCTGATAAGCAGCTAGTCCTCCCCAGGCTCTGTCATTCGGTAATGAATAATGTCCTGCTGGTCTTTATTATACCGTGCTGGGGCATGTGGTGTCATCTCAATTCTGGAGTGGGAGGATTGTCTAGATTCCTTCTGGTCATGGGACAGAGACTGCTTTAGTTACTTTAATGAATGTTCTACACTGCAACAGGAAAATGATTTGTCTCCCTGTTCGCTCTGCTGGGCCTCTCCACAGCTCTCACTGCTGTTACATGGCTGCCTTAGTCCTTGAAGGTGTGTTTCAGAAGGTGGTGTTTGAGGAATTTCTATTTGGACAAGTGTGGCTCTTGTGCTGTGGTGGGTCCCTTCAGGTTCCATCTTGTCCCCATGATATTTAACATAGATGCAAAACCACCAAGAGAGACTGGCTGGAGTTTTGGGGTCCAGTGCTGATGACACCCAATGTTTTCTCACCACCTCAACCTGAGAAAGCTGTTCTAAATTTGTGAATGATACCAGTAAGGGATTGGATGAGGGCAAGCAAACTGAAGCTTAATCCAGACAAGGCAACAGTGGTTTTGGCCAGATCAAGGATTGGGGATTTAATTCATGTTAGATGCGATTACACGCCTGTTGAAGGGCCAGACTTTCAGCTTGGTCTGTTCCTGGACTCTGCCCCGTACCTGGACGCCTGGTATCAGTGGTGGTGAGGAGTGCATTTGGGCAGCTGAGGCTATGTGCCAATTCAGCCTGTTCCTGGAGATGCCCGAGTTGCATCCAGTTCGGACTATTGCAACTGTTCAGGAATTGCAGCTGGACCAGTGTGCTACAGCCAGACTTTTGCCTGGCACTGAATACATGACTCTTGCTGCAAAAGCATCACTGGACGCTAAGCTGTTTCTAGGCACAATATAAAGTTCTGGTTATGACCTATAAAACCCTGTTCACTTTGGGGCTGGCTACACGAAAGACCATTTATTCCTTTATGAGTTTGCCCACATTTGTAGATCTTGGAGGCTTTTCTCACAATGCCACCACCATCAGAGGCTGGTTTGGTAGGGATGTAGACGAGACTGTGGCTTCACAGTGGGCATTCAAGCAGGCCTTTGCGATACAATCCGCTCCATTGGGTCAGGTGCTCTTTTTTATTGCAAGCTGGTCTGTTGGGATGGATGTTGTGTTTTACACTGTTTTAATGTATTTGACTGTCTTTATTTTAAATGTTCCCAATTTTATTTTTATTAGCCCTCCTTGAGCACCAATCAGAGATGTAGAGATGCATCTATTTGCAAAAGCATGCACATCTGCCAAAATTTCCGTTCAGAAGTTGGTACCTGTATGAAGAAAGAAATGCTGCTTATATATAGCATTCCTTTTATTTGGGGATGCTTGATATTTGACCTAGAAAATTGGTAGAAAACACTGTATTAAGCATGTAAATTGGCATCAAGTCTGTGGCTGCCTAGCTACTGAGCTTCAGCTCTCAACATTGTCCCCTCCTACTGTAGATGGGCTTGCCTAAGCCCATGTGGCTTTCTCCAAAAGCTCGCATTTGCTACTCATGAGCATTATATCTGTGGAAAGGGCATTGGCTACTCAGATTTCAGCTAGTCTTTTGACAGTGTGTCATCTGGAGAAAGCTCCGGAGGAAACTTAAGTTAGGCTCTGTACGATTCTTGACCCTAACACCCTTCCAAATCTACAGCAGACGGTTGCTGTGCATCCATGTAGTCAGTACACCATGCACAGCTAATCTGAGCAGAATGCAGGAGAAGCCCTTCTCTGTGGCCAATGCCTGAGCTGCAAGAGCCCTAGAAAGGCTTTCTTTGCCCCTCCTTCCCTTGACAGCTCTCCGCCACCTTATAAAGAGGCTTCTACTGATGCTTGCTGGAATCTCTTCTGTCCCGGCCCTCCTGTTTTGAGTGTGCTGGTTTGTTGGGAGATTTTAACCTGGGAACTGCCCCTTGTGTCCTTGCACACGCCCTTCTTTATGTTTTGTCCTTAGGTAAATATATGCTTATAAGGCTGTGCATAAGTGTCCAAGGGCACCTGGAAAACAGATATGGCAGATAAAATTCCCAGAGATGAGCCTGGGGCTTCTTTTCCCTACATGCATTCTTACCTTTCCCCAGAATTAAATTATCCTAGTAACAACTGCTGAAAAACTAGAATACTGTCCCCTCAGAAGAACAGCCCATTGAATTCAGGGAAGGTGGTCCAGGATGTGGCCACTGCAATTATGCTAACGAGGGGAAACCAGTGCTATTTATTCATGTCAATGGATGCCAGCTTTCCTCAATTTAGTTGCATTTGCCCAGCAGCAGGATTTTCCCGTGCAAAGGAGACACAGCCCATGCTGGAAGCACAGTACTTGGCTTCCTTCTCGTTTCAGAGTTTTGAATTGTTTATAGTATAGAAGTGATTAAAGAAGGTTGCGCAATCCTTACCCCTCTCAGATAGGAATTAACAGGCCAAGCACCAAGCACACTTAGGCTGTTTACAATCTCTTCTTTGAATTAAAAAATACCACAAATATGTTTTGTCTTTAATAAGTAAAGCTCTCTAAAATTCTACGGCACTTGTTGGTTGTGCCATTTGCTTAGCTATGCATTTGTTTGGCATAGTTTGTGTGTTACTGCACTTTCCGTAAACGCTTCAGTTGAGGCACAGCTAAACTTTGAAGTTCTACTCTGGACCCCCTTCTCATGCAGCGTAAGGATGTTGATACTGCAGGGAAAGCATACCAGATTGCAAGTGCTCAGCAATGCTCTTTCATAGTCATGTTGCACACTTGCACCGAGAATGTTCCCGCTGTGTAAGTGCATGCTGGGAGTTTTCCAGTCTTCTCCAAAGATGCTTCCCCCACTCCCTCTGGAGTGGTTTCATTTCCAACAGTAGCTTAGAGCAAGGGCAGGCCTTCAAGATGTTTTTGGACTACAACTCCCATCAACCCAACCACATGGCCAATAGCAAGTATTATGGAAGTTGTGGCCCAAATCACCTGGAAGGCACTCAGTTCCCTCTGCATGGACCACAGGAATGTAGTGCAATGCTCTTCTGAAACATCTGACAAATTAGGCATCAGGAGTTGCACGGATGCCTTTTTAAGTCTTCTGTGCTGTTGTCTGTCCTATATTCTCAGTGCAAACTGTGCATAACTGACACAGAAAGTCAGCAAAAGCATTGTCACAACAAAGGACACACAGCCTACTTTAGAAACATCATCTGTAGTTGCCCTGATTGTGTCACTGCCGGCTTCCATTCTCTCCCCCCACCCATTTACCTTCATTTGATAATCCAGGTGAGCAGCATAACTCTGTTTTCAGATGTGCAGTTACCTGTTCATCTTCAGATGGGATAAATTCTGCTGCAGCTGATGGATTAAATGTCCTCTGCTGGTGTTAACCTTGTTGCTCAATAAGGCAATGAATATGGAAAACGGGTACCTGTAGCCAGGGGAATGTGTTGCATTTAGGCCCTGGATGCTAGCCAGGAGCCTCAGAGTCAGAAAGGCCAGAGTCAGATCTGTACAGTGCCTGCTCAAAGCGAGATCCCGCATACTGTTAACTGTGCGCTGGCAACATACAATTCCTGTTGGTAACTTCTGGGTCCATTTGGACATGATGCCCATCATAGGCCCCACTGTAGTGATGAGGCACTGCCATTTCAAGTACCATCTGTGCAGAAGACGGAGCCAAATCAGGATTTGTGCTGGGGTGGGGTGCAGACACTCTTTGCTCCCCCCCCCCCCCGTGTAAAGGGGGTTCTCCATTTCCATTGTCTCAGGTGACAAATTGCCTCTATTTTGCACAGGCTCAGAAGGCCCTGCACCAACTTTGCTTGCATGTTACAGAATGTATGGCACCTGAATCCTTTAAGGAAAGTCCCTTTAAGAGGAGGAGGAGGAGGAAGAGGAGGAAATTCTTTGCTTGGGAATGTCTGTTCTTGTGAAAGAGGGCATTTGGCCTTGGGGAAGGTATTATCTCTGAGAAACAGGCATGCATGTCAGAGAGCTCTTTCCTGGGATAGCAGTGAACAATTTACAGAGGCTTCCCTCCGATTAGCAGGATGCTGACACAGGACATAGTAATATGCCCACCCAGGAGTTGTACCTTTGGCCAAATGCTTGCGGGGCAGAACAAATCCAGCCAGAAAAGGCAACCCAAAAGAGAAAGCCAAGTGAAATCTTGGGGGGAAGTGTCACCAGCTAGAGAAGGAAGAATGTCCCCTGCCCACCCCTGCCCCAGGCACACCCCAACTAATGGAAAGTAGACAGGTGTGACCTCTTCCCCTTGCAGAAAAGGTGTCTGACGGTAGGATGTTGAAAGTCAGTTCATCCTTGGCAGGAAGGGGGAGGTGCAGCGGGGGAATGTCTCACAGAGGACGACTGCGAGAGTTTCTTATCTATTGATGCTCTTTCTTCCCAAGTCACCCCACCAAAGGTAAATTGTGCAAAGGGAACTACAACTCCCATCAGCCCTGCTTATGCTGGCTCGACTGATGGGCATGAGAAGCCAACATCATTTGGAGGGCCAAAGGGTCTTCCTTGCATTCTGGAGCAACCAGGCCTTTGTGCAAGTAATGCTGGCTCTCAGGCCTTGAAAATTCGATGTTTGTCAGGACTCCCAGTTTCCAGTCACCTGGACCACCAGGACTCCCAGCAGATCCAAGCTGCCAAGTTACGGTCAGTGCCCACCACTGCATGCATTCTTGGGGAAGGGGGCACTTAGGCTGGTAATTTTGGTTGCCTTGCCCAGCTTGCAAGCGGGGAGCACGCCCTCTCCCTGCCCACCCCTCCATGCTGCATTCTGAACCAAGATAAGAAGTTTGGCTGCAAAGGAAGTGGTGAGCTCTCCACAGTCCCATCAGGACCAGGCAGCTACCCGCGCTCCAGCCCCTGCAGGGCTAAGCAGGAAAGAGTCTGCCCACAGTCTGCTGAGCTGTCACGGGTGAAGAATGGCAACTCTTCCCCACAGAGATAAGCTCCAGAGGAGGAGAAAATCCTCACGTGCTGATTCTGGGAAGAACAGGAATGGAGACAGGGAGAAGGCACAGGACACCGGCTAAAGGCCCAGGTGCTAGCTTCACATTGACAGCTTACTGGGAAGAAAGGAGGTGCACCAGCCCTCCTGGTGGCGGGGGGGGGGCGTTAATTTGCTCCCCACCAGTCCTGGCAGGCCTCCCAGGTTCATCATGACTTCAATGCCAAAGACGACAGTGACAACCTTGAAGACTCGGAGATGGGAGCTTTGGAAACTCGGGGAGAGCAGAGGCCTTTGGAGCGCTGTCAGGGTCACTGCCCACAGGATCCCAGGTTACTAGGAATATTTTGGAAATGAAGAGAGCTGTTGCCTTGCCCAGTCCCTGATCCAGTGACAAGGCACCGGGAGAGCCGAGCTGCCCCATTTGAGGGCTTGTGCAGGTCCCACTGGCTGGCCTTCGCCAGCAGGAGCTGCTCTGAGTTCCCAGTTTGGGTTCAATGCTCTTGACATGTGCAGGAGCTCATCTTTCAACTTACTAGAGGGTCTTTAGAGTTACTCTGTCCTGTAGCTGTGAAGCTCCAATAAAGGTCTGCATTGTAAAGTGACTGGTGTTTTGGAGCGTAAGGGCAAGAAAAGAAGGGCTGAGTTCAGGACAGACTCTGCCACCTCCACAGTGTATGAAGAAACAGCGGGAGCCTGCCTCTACCTGCAGCCCCCTAGCTATGATGGATTTGTTGGGGAGCAACCCCTCTGGAAGTTACAAGATCAAGGAAGGCTGCTGTAAACTATTTGTCAAAATTATTCCCTGCTCTGTTGGTATTTTAAATCTATTTAGTAGCTGATTAACCAAAAGGGAAACAGTTATTAAAATTCAAATATATTGCCATTGTAGCTTGCCAGTCACTGGAAATTCCCAGGTTTTTATTTCACTGCATATGATTCAAGCTATAACCTCAGTACTCAGGATCTCTCACACATTCATCTCTCACTAGCTACAGTGTATTTAAAAAAAACCTTTATTGATTAAAAAATTCAAAAAGTTATTTACAGTAGTTTTTTGCTCCATAAACTTCAGGCAAAAGAATATTCTTTTTTTTAAATTTCCCATCCCATCTAAAATAAGGTCTCCACATGATTAGGACAAACACAATACAGCAGTGTAGCCCCTGTACCAACAAGAGCAGTGCATTGCAGGAACTGGCTGGATTTTTTTTTTTTTTTAATTCCTTTTGCTAGGTACAGTTCCGGATCACCTTTGGCTCCTCCTCCAGTGCTAGAAAAGCAGGTCTCTCTCAGCTTTGCTTACTGGAGGAAGGATTCTAATCACAATAGTCCTAATCTGACTAAAGGTGGCTGTGAGTATCCCACTGAATGGGGGTGGGGGAGCTTAACTTGGGGAAAAGCTAGCCAGAAATTCTGCTGTGTGGGGCCACAGCTGGACATAGGCCACTCCTGCCCCTTGGAAGTGGCCCACTGATTTCAGAGGCACACAATGAAATTAATCTTAGTTCTAGGTCGCTTACCCAACCTGGTACCTTCCATATGCCGTGGGGTTCAGCCCCAGCCAGCACAGACAACAAACAGGTAGGAATCCTGTGAGTTGTAATGCAACACATCTGGAATGCATCAGGTTTGGAAAGGCTGTTCTAGTCCATTAGAAATCAGCAAGAGAAAAATCTTGCTTGCACATTCTACAAAACGTGTGTGTGCATTTAGAACTAGGTTTGAGGAGGTTATGGAAGGAGCTGCACACTCTATCCAGAAACCAGTGCATGAAGAAACAGGGAGGTGCACAAAACTGATGAAATGGAAATACTCAAACTTCACCCAAAAATCAATGAACAACCAACAAGCTTAAGATGTTTCAAAGGCAGCTGTGGGTTTTTAGGAAGAGATGTAAACACCATTTGGTGATTATTGTTTAAGGCTTTGGGTTGATTCATCAAAACAGCAGCTTGCGAGGCACGGTTAGCTACCTCCACTATGGCATCAATTAAAGACTGAGAGCACCAACGATGGAGAAATGGGGCAATGATGTGTCCAGCAGCAATTACAAGTTGCACCAATCTTAGCCCCAATGCCTTGTTTGGCCAGAAGGGGCAAGGAAAGAAGGCACTCGCAGCGGGTTTTTGAACAAGTAAACAGTCCAGCCCTTCTGGCTCCAGTTCTGCAACACAAACGCTGCTTGCTGTCCTCAGGAAGTCTCCCACTGAATCAACGCCAGGTTGGCACCCGGTTCAAAAAGGAAAAAAATCCAAAAAAGTTGCATTCTGCTGGGCTTTATCTTTACTATTCATGCAACATAATAATTAGGCTAACACCCTCTAAAATTAGTGTTTCTCAAGATAGATATATAGGTGTATATAATAGATCACTATTTAACTTACATTTACAGTGAAACAGCACTATTCAAACAACAGGCAGTTGTTCATCTCACTTAGAGTATTCCATGTTTTGCAAGCTCCTAGTCTCAGGAAAACGGGGGTAAAACTCAGTGAACAATGCATGTCCCAAGTGATCAACATGCAACCTACCCCCACCTCCCCGGTTTCCCTCCACCTAAACTGAAAGCATACACCCTTTCTCTAATATGGGATGCTGGACTATCACTGGGTTCAAAATTCTATAAAGGTTGCAGATACATGGGACACGTCAAATCACACAAGGAGGCAGTATTAGGGTCACGTGTAGCTATAGCCTAGAGAAGAGTTTGCCATTCACCATGGAAGACCCTGCACTGTTGGACTTCCCTTCCTGGCCACAAGAGGGCACCCTCGCTCCATCAGCAAAGGAGTAACTACATTCAGCATGATGAAAGCAAGGATACCAAAACAACACAAACAAAAAACACCTAAGTGGGGATGCGTTTTCGTATAGGTAGTTTTGTTAGCGCATCCGTAAAGACGCCTTACAGTTTTCAGAGGCGGCCAAAGTTACAGTTTACCATCAAACTTTTTTTTTAGCTTTTATTTTTAAAGGGGGTTGTTTTAAAGCCACTTCACAGTCAAGAATGGGTTTCGTTTGCTCTCCCCATTTGCTAACCAGTGCTTTCTGCTGATTTTGGTTAGCATTCTGCCAGTGTAGTCCTCTCTCTATTCTAGAATTACATTTGTACAGGAGAAACACTAGGAAAGAGGAGGCAGAAGAAAGAATGACATCACCGAAACCAGGTAAATTTCTGCCAGCTTATGAAATAACAGTGATAAAACAGAGCTCAATAGCACCGTAGATTTTTGTGGGGGTTTTACTGGCACCAGTACACTGCAGAGTGGTGGCTGATTGTTCTCCCCCGACCCCCTGCGGGGAAAACAAAATGCCACTAACATTTCCAGTTAAATCTGTTAGTTCAAGGGGACTCCCAGCAGGTGTGATGCAAGGACCAGCCACTCATCACACCCCACCAAGAGTACTTAAGAAACTCTACAGTAAAAAACAACAACAACCAAGAAAACTTAAAAAAAAAACAGAACAAAAATCTCCCCTTGGGAAGTTCAAAGGGAGGGGAGAATCACCCTTTTTGGTGGATCACTAGGAAAGAAAGAAAAGTTTTGATCATCTTTCTCCACTACTATCAGATCATTTTCCTGTTCTCTTCCATGTCAGCAGGTTTTGAAAATGGGGAGCAGGGATAGGGGAAGGTGGAGAGACAGGATCCTCTGCATAAGTCCTCCACAACAAGAACAACAACCACAACCACAACAAAATTGTCACAGTAATAAAGGTGTCAACCAGCAACCATGTTCTACAAGAACTCTCTCAATCCTTTTGAGGGCAGTTTGTACCCAGTTCAGACACCTCCTTGGGCAGATGGTGCCCTCCCCACGGCTTAGAGAGGGAAGAAGCCAGCAGGGGCCAAAGTGTGATGCTAACACCAAAGGAGGATGGGGTGTGCCTCCTTGGAAGTGGGGAGTATGTCTCGAACAAAGTCAGGCAGCTCGCTTCCAAGATGAGCCGGCAGCATCAAGCTGCTGGTTGACAGGAAGCTGCATCACAGCATTAACATCTGGTCAGGAGGCCCCTTGCAGCAGAGGCCAACAGGAAAACTAGCCCTGGGAGGAGGGCAAGCGGACTCCAAGAGGAGCTCGGGCAGCAGCAGCCTACTTGGGTTTTCTGGAAAGGGCAGGAGCAGAAGACTCCCTCTGCCGTGACGGAGGCATCTGCCCACTCAACCTCTGCGAGTCAAGTTCAGCGGCCCTCTGCAGGGCCACTTCCACCAACAACTGGAAGCTGCTGAAGTCCTCGCCAAAGAGCTCTGGAGGAGTTGGGGGTGGCGTGTTGAAGAGTCCACTCGTGGGGCTGGCCGCGTCTGCCCTGGTCAGCAGGGCCAGAGTGCTGCCTGTTGTGTTGAGCTGCTTGGGGTGAGGCTCCAGCTCCACCCGCTGGAAGGCGGGCCGGCTCTCCGGCTCGCTCGACATCACAGTCACTTTGCCAGCGAGAGGCCGCGTGGGGTGGCAGATCATGGGGGGGCAGACAGACATGGACAGCACCTTGGATGTGGCAGCAGGAGTAGCAGCAGGAGGCACCATCAAGAGTCCAGAGCTTGTTGCTGACCCACGAGGCAGGGCCCCATCGCCACCTTTGGTGCCCCGGCGAGAAATGGTGAACTGGTTGGGGTCCTTCCCGTCCTTTAGCAGCATGTCAGGCAGGAGCCTGCGCCTGGCGTTGATGAACCAGTTGCAGATCTGGGTGGGAAACACATGGGGCGGGGGGGGGGGGGACTTGGTTACATATTTCTGGATAAGCAAAAAGGAAGCAGCACAGTTCTAGAACAGCTTCTAAAAACCTGGCCATGGACTCTAGAGCAGGGGTGGGCAGATTTCCAGTTGTTCTGGACTTCAGCTCCCCAGTATTTTGGACCATAGGCTGTGCTGCGGGGGCTTCTGGTAGCTGAAGTCCTTAGAAGGGTCCGAACTGCCTGCGCACCCCTGCTCTGGGGAAGCAAGGTCAAATCCACACCTTGCCATGGGGTAAAGGGACCTTGGAGGTGGTCACGCTTTGTCACCTGTTTTTGCCTGTAGAATAAGAAACACAATTATCAGCAACACAGAGGAGAAGTTGCAAAAAACAAATGAGGACAAAGCATTTGATGAACAAAAAGTTAAGAAGCCACAGTTTTTAAAAGAATGGGGGAAGGAAGAGACAGAAGAACAGCGGAAAAAAGTAATGTGTTCAATAGCTTTTGATTATATCACCACCATCCTCAAAAGTACTCCAAGAAGCATAAATTACTTTCCCCTCCCAATTTTAGCTTAACAACCATCCTCTGAGGTACATTACGATAAGAACGAGCGACCAGATCATTCTATCAATTTTAAGATTCAGTGGAAATCGAAACTCTTCTTCCCATGCCTAAGGAAAAACTGCATGTTGCATCGTATTTCCTCACTCAAACATTAGTGCAGGGGTCCAAGCCTGAAGTATTAGAGAAATTGTGTTTGTGTGTCGGGGGGGGGGGGGGATTGAAAGCTCTGAATTTCTCCTCTCCAACTACTGCTGTAGGCAAGAATTTGGCTCCTACACCTGCAATTTACTTTGCCAAAATAGGAGAGACTAAAACAGATGGACCAGGTTTTGGCAATCCAAATTGCAGATGCCCCAAACCAGACTGAGGCAGATGGGGTTAAAGCAGGCCTGGCCCACATGCCAGAGGCCCAACCTAGGTTGCATCCCCTTGCAATGACTGCTACCCGTATCTTTAAGGAAATGTCCCCATGACACCATACTGGCCTCACACATGATCCCATTTGGGTGGGGGCAGTGGTGCTCAGAAAAGCTACAAAACACAATTCAACACCCATTGGATACCTCTGCATACCCATTAGCCACTCATGGGTCCACAGGACCAGTTCCACCATCTCTGACTAACGCATGAGTCATGTTCCATCAGTATTCTTTTATCCACAAACTCTGCATTTCATTATACATTATAAGGTCTTAAGTGACAATTTGCTACCATTTGCACATAAACAGGTGGCTGAAAAACTCATCTGTATCCTGGATGACTTGTTCTGCCAAAGGACAAGCAGAGTTTTACAATGTTGCTATTTTTTTAATCTGGTGCAGCTACAAGAAGACCTCTTTACCAGCTGGCAGGATGATAAAAGACCAGCTTCTCTAGGTATTTATACAGATACTGTGATTTAGCAAGCACTATTCCTGATTCATCTATTTTTTTCCTCTGTCATCCGGACTCTTCATTTGAAGGAGAATGCTGGAAAAGCATACAATTTTCAAATTCCTTCAATAAATTGCTATTAAAGTGTCCCTATTTCCAAAACAAGAGTATATATGAAACAGAATCCCAAGAGTTATAAATACAGGGTTCAGCATTCACTGGAGCATGCAAGTCTAATCTTGCACCCAAAGAATGCTACAGTAGTTTCCATTTCAGGAACAAGATCAACGGTTTTGCACACATAAAAAGAAAGACAAGGAAGTCACTCTGCAAACACTGGATGAACCTTATGGCAAGGAATAGTTTTTATATTATAATCACAAGAGAGAACTCGACTCTGCCTTCTTCCGGTTAAAAGGGGGGGACAGCCTTTCCTTCTCCTTCCAGCCCACCCCCTCCCAGCATCTCTGCCACCTTTTCTTTTTAACTTTTAGGTGGCCAGGAGAATAAATCTATTCACTTGTCACCTGAATTTCTATTTTTCAGGGTTGCAAGCTGAGATCTGCCCAGCCAGCACAGGGCAAAGCACCGAAGATTTCTTCCAAGATTCCTAACATGCCTTTTCTCATGCCACATCTATTCAGGAGTGACTAGAAGGTATGTACAACGTTTCCTTTGTATAGGCCAGGGTGATCAAGTTTTTGTTAAAGCCAAGCACATACCCCTCTTCCTTCCAATTCTTTTCAGTGCCGATAGGTTGACTTAAAATAAATAAATAAATAAATAAATAAATAAATAAATAAATAAATAAAATGGGCTATCCACCATTTGATTCATTAACTTTTGTCTTGTTGTTTTTTTCCCCTTTGTCCCATGCCCATAAGAACAAGGAAACAGCTCCTTCCTTGACCAGTTTAAGGACAAATGCAACCTCAAAGGGAGAAAAGGCCCAAAGCATGCCATTTGCAACAGTTTTTTTAACAGGGTGCCAAAATTCTTATGCAGACTCAATCAAATCAGATCATAGTAGGCACAGAACTGATTTGAGGTTGCATCAGGTGCTGGTGAGACAAAGGAATTAAAATGGCCATTTCTCCTTTTTAAAAATGTGTATTACATTATACACACATCAATTAAGAGTTAAAAATTCAGGACAGTGATCCAGCTAAAGCTAAGCCCACTGAAAAAGGGAGGCTAACTGAATCACAACTAGAATAAATGCCACCATTTTCAGTAAGACCCAGGCTAGAAACCTTTACCCATTCCACAGGAACTAATAAGGCCAATGAACAGGACCACTTATCAAACACAACTAACTTTAGTTAAACCGAAGGCTTCAGGTTGTCCTATTCCCAAACAGGAGACCCACCAGCAATGACAGATCCAGAGTGCCTGTCTTAGCCCAGAAGAGAAGTGAGACTGTTACCCTTACAACTTGTTTTCTCCACAAGGTAAAGCATAACGGAACTGTGGGATTTGCGGGGCCTGCGCTTATCCTCGGCTGCTCCTCCAAACTTCGCACACACAGGGACTCACAAATAGTTCCCAGGTGGTCTCCCTCCCATGAGAATGCAAGTTAAAAAAAATCTTATAAACTGCTTGGGAAAGACAGAATGGATTTAAATCAAATTACTCCTATGAATGAGTGCATACTAATGAGACGCTATCTTTCAAGACCTCTCTTCATGCAGTCCAATTTCTTTGGCAATACAGTTCTGTCTAGTTTGACACAAGACCATAGACGTCACTAGATAATTAATGCATTACTGTTTGCCTCCCCTACCTCTGGTAGACACAATGAAGTTGCCAAGCCACTGAGTGGGCAGATCTGAGAAGGGGACACATCTTGCACAGTGCAGCCTGACTAGACACAGCACAGCCCCCCCCATTCCTGCAGTGACATGCTGCTTTCTGGGTCCAGCTGGAGGCCCACAGCAATGCCCAGCCTATTACAAAACATCTACCATGCACAGCCACTGACTTTAGAGGTTTTCCCCCATCCTACTTTATTCTGCACTTTAAAAAGTGCAGTAGTTAATGAGTTTTCTAGGTGACTAAAAGGATAACTGTCCATTTTAACTTATTTTAAATGAATTCAGATGCCATTATTTGCTGGGTTGGCTTTAGCTCTAGCTAAAAACAGAAACATCAAATAAGAAACAGAAAATCAAACAGTATTTGTGTTTATCTGTTCAAGCCCTATCCAGAACATGCTTGGTGGAACACCTACAAAGCTGCAGCAGACTTCAGATGACCCTCCAGCCTGTCTCCTTCCAGACTGGAGGTCCAGCCTTACTGGCACATTGCCACCCTTTCTGAGCTCTGAGGGATCCCATGCAGGATACTTAGCAAACAGCAGAGCAGAGCAGAACCACCCACCACTCGACAAGTTTGCATAAACTTTGCCCACATATTAGAAGCAGATGGCATAAATCATGTCCCAGCTGCTGGCACTGCAAACCAGCACGGAAGAAATAGCCACATGGCCCCTTCACTTACTGCCCAAAGAGTTGTGCTGGACCCTTAGAGGCCCCCAACACTGCAGAGCTCCTTACTCTCCATTCTCTTCAGATGCTTTAATTAAAAAGTGAAAAATACTAGGATGCCAGTTCCTCCTTTATGATCCTGCCACTGATCAGTTTTTGAGAGGGCAGAAAGAAAGAGCAAGGAGGCTAGGAATTGGGGAGAGAGAAATGGCAATGAAAGGGGTTGTGGGAAAGAAACAGGAGGGCTAGAGGCTGGGAAAGGAGCTCCTTCCCAGTCCAACCAATCTTCTTCTGTTCGCATAAATGTTCCTCCTTTGAGCTCCCTTTCTCCACTCCCCATCTTTTGGCTAGCTGGGCCTCAATGGCAGCCATTACGTGACTAGCCACAGTCTCCAATGGACCCATTTTGTGGCCGAGTCCCCAGCAGTCTTCAGGATGGCTGGAGATGTGTCCCATGGGCTGTGCCATTTGGCAACCACACCACAGCACAGGCTCCCCCAACCTAGCACCTTCTCCAGAAGTGTCAGCCCCTACCATCGTGGGGGAGAGGACTGCTGGAGTCCAACACATCTGGAGAGAGTTCCAGTCTGGGGTAGGCTGTTGTGCACAAATGCCCCGAGCAGCAGCACTGTGCAGTGCTTAAATACAGTTGCAGAGCAGAAAATTATAAGTTTGGACAGAACAAGCATGTACAATTGCATCCTTTGAAAGAAAGAGACGATCACATTTCCTTTTGGCCAGTTAGCAAAGTTTTGGATCCACTGCCAAGGAAGCCTGCAGGAATTCCACTGCAACACCATGAGGAGTGAGTTACAAGACCTTTGGAAGCACAGCTGCTGTTTATACAATTTGTTTCACTACATATACTATGGTAAAGAGCAATTTCTCCCCCTCTTGAAAGCTGAACTGAAACAAAGGCGTGCTTCAAAGAAACAATTATGGAAATATAAATCAAGGGAACTGACATATCTTTTGCAAATCATCAGCCCTGTAACATATTCCCCCGAGGACATGTGTTACCACAAATTCAATCATTTGTCCCCTCATTTTAATTCAACCTACAGCCTTTCACAAGCACATC